AGGACAGTCTCTTTCATAAATGATGCTGGGGAAACTGGGTATTCATATGCAGAAGAATGAAACTAGACCCATATCTCTCACTATATACAAAAATAGACACCAAAAGAATTAAAGATTTAAATATAAAACCTGTAACTGTGAAACTACTAGAATGAAATATTGGGGAATTGCTTCAGGACATTGATTTGCCGAAAGATTTTGTGGAAAAGACAGCCAAAGTACAGGCAACAAGGGCAAAAATACACAAATGGTATTACTTGACACCAAAAAGTTTCTCCACAACAAAGCAAAGAACTAACAGTGAGGAGACCACATGAAGAGTGGGAGAAAATTTTGGAAAATATTCATTCAACGAAGAATTAATATTTGTAATAAACAAGGAACTCAAATAAATCAAGAGCAAATAATAATAATCTGATCCAGAAATGGTCAAATAACCTAAACAGACATTTTTCAAAAAGAAGTCATACGAGTGGCCAAGCATTTTAAATAATGCTAACATCACTAATAATCACAGAAGTGCAAATCAAAACCACAATGAAATATCATTGCACCCCAATTAGAATGGCTATTATAAAAAATACAAAACAACAAATGCTAGCAAGGATATAGAGAAAAGAGAACTCATACACTAATGGGGGATGGAATGTAAATCACAGTCATTAAGGAGAAAAATATGGAGAATCCTCAAAAAATGAAACACAAAACTACCCTATAATCCAGCAATCCAACTACTGGGTATTTATCCTAGCAAAAGAGAATTAGTATATCAAAGAAATATCTGCACCCCATGTCCACCACATAACTAACAAAAGTCAAGGTATGGAATCAACCTAAGTGTTAATTAACATATAGATAAAGAAAATATGGCATATATACACAAAGAAATACTATTCAGCCATAAAAATAATTAAATTTTGTCATTTGAGGCAAAATGAATGAGCCTGGAGGACATCATGTTAAGTGACATAAGCCAGGCACAGAAAAATAAATACCACATATTCTCAATTGTACTCAGATAAATTTAATGTCATCAAATTAGAGAGTAGAATAGTGGTTAATAGAGGCTGGGAATGGTGGTGGGTGAGAGAGGGAAAGGTTGGTTAAAAGATATGAGATTACAGCTGGATAGGAAGAAAAAGTTTCAGTGTTCTGCAGTGTTGTAGGGTGAATACAGTTAATAACTATTTATTTTATACTTTCAGATAGCTAAAAGAGGATTTTGAATGTTCCCAACAAGAAGAAATAATAAATTCTTGATGTAGTGGATTTGCTAATTATCCTTACTTAATCAGTACCCATTTTATATATCAAAATATCACTCTGCCACCCCAAAATTATTGCATGTCAATTAAAAATAAAAGCTATATGAATATGTGAATTTAAAAGTATATTATCGGGCCGACCCTGTGGCGCACTCGGGAGAGTGCGGCGCTGGGAGCACAGCGGCACTCCCGCCACAGGTTAGGATCCTATATAGGGATGGCCGGTACAGTGCGCTCATGTGGCACCAAGCCAAGGGTTGCGATCCCCTTACTGGTCACAAAAAAATAAATAAATTGAAATTAAAAAAAATAAATAAATAAAAAATAAAAAGATATTATCAACTGCATTAAAAAAAAGCATAAATCATGATAAGGGAGTAGGAAATGACTTTCGCATTATATTAGTTTTTCAGGGGAAGGATTCTTTGTGAAAGTGACATTGGAGTAGAAATATAATTTAATAGAAATATATTTTTTAATTGCATTCAGTGCTAACATATTTTGTACTATATTGACTTTTGAATGGGCTGTTTCACATTTTGAACCGCATGTGCATTCAGCATAAGTATTATGAAGATATAATGCACAAAGTCTACTGTCACTATTGCCCAGGAGCTTTTGGAGCTGGCACACTACCGTGAGAAAGGATGTTGGTGAGGTTGGAAAACAGGCAGAGAAGGATCTGATATCCATGGATTAAAAGTATCTTTAGGACATAGTTGAAAATTAAAGCTAAAAAGTGGTAACTATGAGCTTTCTTAATTCATAAAAATTGTCTTAAGTAAAAAGATAAGAAAAATAACACGATCTGGACGAAGTGAACAACATCCAAAAGGTCAAAAGAATATTCATACAAAATATGCTAAATGCATTGGACTCACAATAGGCAGTCCAATGAGAGGATGGAGATCAGGAAACAGGTTACACGCCCAGGTGCACCATCCAGCCAGGGTGATGGAGCAAAACCCCTGGGATGTGACAACTGTGTAAAGCAGAGGCCTTTCTCACTTCTCCCCCCACTAGTCTCCACTTGGCTCGCTCTTGCAGAAACTTTGTCTGCAAAAGTTAAACAATGCAAAGAAATCATTTAAAAGGAGAAAGATATTAGAAGTTCTGGGCCGACCCCGTGGCGCACTCGGGAGAGTGCGGTGCTGGGAGCGCAGCGACGCTCCCACCGCAGGTTCGGATCCTATATGGGGATGGCTGGCACACTCACTGGCTGAGCCCGGTGTGGGCGACACCACACCAAGGGTTGCAATCCCCTTACCGGTCACGAAAAAGACAAAAAAAAAAAAAAAAGAAGAAGAAGAAGAAGTTGTACAAAGATCATAGAAACTTTATTTCTCTGATTTAAATGTTTAATATATTTGTAAAACTACATGTTAAAAAGTTGTGTTATAAAACATTATTAAAAATTATTAAAATTTTATAATTAAAATCAAGTTATAGCCAATGGAAGAAAGGAGAAATAAGCAGTTCATTTTAAAGGGTCTCTAGTGACTCCACACTCAATCAGACATGAGTCTATTCCAGTTGGACATTAACTAAAATAAAAATAGATATTTGGTAAGAGTCTTGCTATTCAGAGCATTTTACAATGGCCAGTAAGAGCAGCATCACTTGGAAGTCTGTTAGAAATGTCGATTCCTGGGCCGCACCTCAGGCCCACTGCACACCAGAATCTGCATTTTACAACACCCTCAAATGAATTGCATGTTTATTAAGGTTTGAAAATCACTGATTTTGATTACCTTTGATTTGATAGAAATTAAGTAATTTAGTGATCTAGTAAGGTATTCTGCTGAATTAAAAATAATTAACCTCAGCTTTTTTTCCTTACTTTTTCTGTGTTGTCTTTTATCACCTTTTTCTCTCTTCCATTTACAAACCCATGATCAAAGAGAATTTATCTTTTCTCCATATGCAAGGCAATGCACCACAAAGTGCATAGTAAAATACTTCAGTCAGAATGGAAATGATTGATAATGCTTATTTTGTCCTAAGTGTGTTGGAACAGGGAAGGTATATATTTTGTATCCTTCAGTAACACAACAGTACACTCACAGAGACATACATATGCACACACAGACACACAGAAACATTCAATCCTCCATGGTGGAAATAAAATGGAAAGTTTTTATTTTATTTGCCACAGTGAATAAACTTTGACTTGCATTATTTGTAAAATGTGTGAAACAATACATTAGTAAATGCCCTGAATTACGCTAAAGTTATGTGTGATCCCTGGATTAGCAACTAAAGCAAATTAGTAAAGTATCTGCTTACTATGTTTTATAATTTACTATCGACTCACATGATACAACATGATATAAAGTTAAAAGTTTGACATGAATACTTTTACTCTGGGGAAACAAATAGTGTTTAATTACTTCATGTAGAGCAATAATCTCACGTGTCTATACAGTGCATGTCCAGGGAAATCTTTGTAATGCAAACCTTAATGAGCAAGATGAAAACAGAGATAACATTTAGATTTTTATTTTTAACTCAATCAGTCATCAATTTAAACCAAACACATGAATAACAAATTTACAGGAAATTTGAATCAAAGCTGTTATGACAACGTCATATTTGTCTGACAGACAAAACTATTCAATAAAGGTGAAGTGTGTAATTAGGTAGAGATTAACACTAAAAAGCAACACAAGGATTATGCAAACTACTTCAAAAACTTATAATGATGTCCACTGTGTTAGTAAATAGAACCTGCAGAAACAATTTTGACACATCAGTTTGTGAGATTTGTGAGATTAATAACTGAATTTTTCATTTTTTAGCCCCTTTGTAGTCTTTCAGTAACTTCACGTAGAATCAACATTTTTAATTGATATTCAGAGTCATCATGTTCAACATCACTTCCTACATAAAATAAAAGTACAGGAGAAAGGCACAAAGAATTGCTAGAACCTTGGGGATAGTGCCCCCAACCTCGTGTTACTAATTCTACCATACTCTACTCCATACGCCTACCCAGCTGTGGCTTTTCAGTTTTCCTCTGTAACCCTGACATTCTTATTGCTAAAATGAAATTGAAGAGTATTTTTAAAAACTATTTTCCAGGCCAATACATGTAAAGAGATTTAGATTTTATGGTCTAATAATCATCTATTGCATAAGTTTCCTAAACCTGTCACAATACGTTATGACAAATTGGTGGCTTAGAACAACAGACAAGTATTTTCTAACAGTTCTCAAGACCAAATGTCTGAAATCAAGTTGCTGTCAGGACTATGCTCCCTCTGACGGCACTAGGGGAGAATCCTTCCTTGCCCCTGGATTGTAGCAGCAAAACTTCAATCCACTTCCATTTTCTCTTGGCCTCTTCCCTGTGTGTCTCTTGTGTTGTCCTTTACTGACCCAGAAGGACACTGTCATTAGACGCAGGGCCTACCCTGATTCACCATGATCTCATTTCAATCCTTACATTAATTACAAGTTCAAAGATCCTATTTCAAGATAAGGTCACCTTTGAGGTTCTAGGTGGACATCAGTATTTTAGGGGACACTATTTTTTACACAACACTTGTGTTACTTCACATATGGTTCAGAGGTATTTTACTAAACACTGAAGTGATCAAATAACTGGTTTATTACAAGAGATTTAAAAATCTGACCAGTGAATTGACTAAATCATTTGAAGCATCATCTCTAGTAGAAGCATTAAATTACCTTCAATATAATAAATCAGTTTCCTTTGAGGTATATCAATCTTCATCAGAATTTTGTTAGGTGATTCATTAACTTCCTCACTGTGTCTTCGACATCTTTGTTCCTGAGGCTGTAGATCAAAGGGTTGAGCATGGGAATGACCACCGTATAAAATACAGAGCCTACTTTGACTGTAAGCCATGAGTTTTTGGAGTGGGGGACACAATAGAGGAACAGGACAGTTCCATGGAAAATGGTGATGGCGGTCAGGTGGGAGACACAGGTAGAGAAAGCTTTATGGCGTCCACCAGCAGAAGGCATTTTCATGACAGTGACAAAGATGAAAATATAAGTAGTGAGGATGATTATGAGGCTGCTCACCTCATTGAATATGGCAATGACAAAACAAAGCAGTTGGCTGATGTAGGGGTCAGAGCATGAGACAGAGACAATGACTGAGTGCTCACAGACAAAATTATTCATGATGTGGGACCCACAGAAGGATAAGTCCAAGAGGAAATAGGTGAGTGTCAGGGAGGAGATTATGCCCCATGCGTAGGGCCCAGACACTAATGACACACAGAGCTTTGGGGACATGACAACTGCGTAGAGGAGAGGGTTACAAACGGCCACAAATCTGTCATAGGCCATCACTGCCAACATGAATGTTTCTGCCACTACAAATATGGAAGCCAAGAAGAATTGCATGATGCATCCCATAAAAGCAATTGTTCTGTCTTCCACAGCCAAGTTCTCCAGCAATTTGGGAGTAACTGTAGTGGAGTAACAGAAATCAACAAAGGACAAGTGGCTGAGGAAAAAGTACATGGGGGTATGGAGTTTGGGATTGATCCTGATGATTATGATCATGCCCAAGTTCCCCAGCACAGTGACTGTGTAGATGGTCAGGAATACCAGGAACAGGGGCACCTGGAGGTCTGGATATTCTGAGAAGCCCAAGAGGATGAAGGTGAATCCAGAACTCTGATTTCCCTCAGCTAGCAACATGATTGTTGTTGGAGAGAATCTGAAATAATGAATATAAAAACAGTAATGATAACATTGAGTACACTTTTGCAACATTTACCCTGTATTGGGCATTGTGCTAAAATATTAAATATATTAATTTAAATCTCCAAATAAAACAATACATTGTAAAACAAGTATCCTCATTACATTATGAATCTGAGGCATATATTAAGGATGTTTTCAGTGGTTAGATAGTTTGGTAATGAGGAGCTGGGTTTTGAAGTTGATCCTTGACAAGGCTGTAAGTTGAATGATGCAGTTTTCTTTTAGATAGAAAACTCTTCTAAAGTATCATAGAAAATGGGTCTTCCAGAGTTTCGTCATTCTGAAGGTTTGTGCTTTTTAATAGCACTACTGTAACGATGATTATAAATTTAGCATTAAAAATATAATGAAAGGAACAGGAGAGTTAAAGGTTTTGAGAAGATTATTCTGCCATAATTACAGTTGATTATAGAAAGAAGCAGCTTTTGTGAGTCAACACATGGATTTCTGAGTTATTAAAATATTCATACATTTGGATGTTGAAGCTAATACAGCTTTGTATATTTTCAGGCTTTCTGATGATCACATCCTACTCTGCAATAATTACCTTCCTGTTTTGCAGCAGTATAGCAACCTGGCGCAGTGATGAAGTTGCTATTTTTATAGATTCCCTCACTCCTTTGTCTTCTTCCACATCAGTACTTTCTCATTTAGTGTCTCTGATGTTCTCAACATACCCATCTAGATTCACTTGTTCATTATCTTTTAACTTTCCATTACTACTTTTTAATCTAACAATTTTATTAGGTGTATTATATAACTAAATAAAGAGAGAACACTGACTTTGAATAATATAAAATGATCTTTTCCCAAGACTTCCGTGTTCTTTAGATCAAGTTGGAGTACATGGTAATAACCACCAATGGTTTCCTAATCACCCTCAACATTTCTGGTGACAGGAACATTATCACTGTAGGCACTGCAGAAGGGTTTTGATTAAAGCTACATGTGTGATTGTCTTTTTTTGAGGCATGCAATCTTCGTTATATTTATAAATGTTATTTTGAGAAAGAATAAGCATCTCATATGCACAAGTATTTCATAACCACAAAAGACTCTTTAATCATTTAGTAATGATTTTAGAATCAGTTGAGCCAATAAAAAGCACGTCTCTGAAATATGCGGGTTAATAAAAGACATTAGTATGCCTCATATGCACAAGTGTTCCATAACCACAAAGGTCTCTTTAATCATTCAGTAATGATTTTACAATAAGTTGTACCAATAACAAGCACGACTCTGAAATATTCAGGTTAATAAAAGACTATCAGTATGAATCCCATTAGCAAAGATATCCTTTGAGTTTTGTTTAACCATCTGAAGGTAGATAGAAACGTCTATATCCCTCATAGCTAAATGTTACTCCTGACACTTGAAAAAACCTACTCCTTCATGAGAAATAGGGAACAGACAGGAGAGTGGCAAACAGGTCATAACAGGTGAATGTAATTAAAGAAGCAGGGCCTTTGAAAATATATATTTATTGTGAATTCCAGGCTTTGACATTAGCTTCATGATCATTAATAAATTACTCAAATTTTATGAGCCTCAACTTCTTAATCAGGAAATTGGGAACAGTAATGACAGGATAATGCACGCTTCATAGGTACATAAGTATTAAGTTAGGAAATAATGTTAATGATCTTACCTCAGAGTCTGACAATTGTGGAGGCCAAGAAATGGAGGCTCCCCCACTCTCACTCCTTTTAATTTTAATTCTATGACTAATTGGTAAATTGGCTTTATTTTTCAACTATTATACCATTATAAAACATCTAAGAAACAGATCAAAGGCCAAAGCAGGCAGGCGTATACATGTGGATACAGCATAGGAAACTGAAGGCTAATTCAGCTCTCTTTCCTTGTTCAATTTTTTGCCCTCTTTAGTCTGAATTCACTAATAACTATTGTTCAATAAATTTTCTTTGTTTCCCCATTTGTCTTCTCATCGTCATGTGACTCTTTCTGGTCCTCTGTTTCTCATCTCAGGTTTGAGCCCATGGAAGATTCAACAAACTGCAATCACTACTCTGGTGGATTGTGGCAGTGGAGGCTCCTGCCCTGCTCTGTGGGACCATCAATTTCCTCACCCCTCCATTCTCGTGGTTGTTATGAGAGTCTGTGGCTCCAACAGCTTCACTTGTTCTGTGCTGCCTAATTCATCAAATCTGAATTTCCCTGCTTGATCTTACCTAAAGCCTTACCCTACCTATTCAGGGTATTCAATTTCAGTATTCAGTTTTCTTTAATCATGCCAGTATTCTCACTTTATAGTGATAAATGCATCTCATTTATTCATTGGCTCATTTGATTTTACTTTAATTTTATCTTCTGGAATATCCTCTTTTTCCAGTCTACTCATGCAGCATTTGAAACCTATAAAGAATTAGATGAAAATCACTGTTATGAAGAAATGTTTCATTTTTATCCCAGTGATATCTTCTACATTCTGGGTGTATCTACAAGAGTTATTATCAGGAAATCAAAATGCCAAGATACACTCTGTTCATTATTATTTTATGTATATTTTCTTTTCTTTCTACATGATTTTGAGATGCTGAGGACATTGCTATGCACATGGTGCATATTCTGAAAACAAAAATCAGGATTGATACTGCAGAGAAGGAAGAAGAGATCAGAGCTCAACAACTTGAGCCCTTGTGAAGATGGACTCAGTAGATATGGCATTTAGACAAATGGAGAATTCCCTATAGAGAGAGAGGTTGCTGGGCTTCTATGTCCCTCATATGAGTAAAATATAATACAGTCTATATTACCAGCTTGAAAACAACTCACCTGAAAATCCAGTTCTTATTGATTAGAGTCTTCAGAGAAGTTCTCACTGAGAATTCACTCATTACTTAAAATATTAAGGTGGTAAATACAGCAGGTGTTCATAATTATGTTTAATTAATGTTTCAGGAGTTTATTTCTTAACACCCTGATAAAAACAGGGAAAGAAGGGAAAGTGGGAGAGACAGAAAGAGCAAGAGAGAGAGAAAGGCTTGGAAACCGATTTTGACTCCTAGAATGAAAATGCGGGGCTTATGTATGACTTCATGACCTTGGAGATTCAAACCCTAGACAGTCTTTATTGAACTACTTATTTTTAGAACACGAGCTCATAAATTAGATTAATTGCCTTCTTATGTGTATTTGGAAGAATGTAATTTCTTCTAAATCACTGGAGACAATACCTTGTCAAACCTACATCATTGATTTACTTCAGAAAATTTTAACATAGACGATATACAAATTTACTCAGAAAACATTGTAACTAAAACACAAAGGAAAACATAAATCAGTTATAATGCAGCAATTAAGAGGTGAAATCCGCTAACATTTGCTGTATTATATTTCTATCTTTTTCTGTATATTTTGTGTATGTCTTGAGATGTATAACCAAGAGAAGTACCTTTTGGATTTTTTATTTAACATTATGAAAATACCAAATTGATCATCACATGTTGTACACAAATACTGATAGTCAACTCTGTATCCCATGAATATGTGTAATTAATTATGTTTCAATTTAAAAAATCATCATTATCTTTGGAATCAGAGATTCATGTAATTGAAATTAATTTGTGTTTCCTTCCAAATATGAGTACAACATTGTTCCAAGCCCATATTAATACAATTAAATTATGAAATATCTTTTTGTCCACAACTCTTAAAAATCGCACATGCATTTGGAAGTAGGTTTAATTCCTAGAACCAGTTGTCAACCAATCCATTATTTCTACTACACCTGAATACCCCACTATTAAATTTACTTATTCTTTCACTGACTGCTGTCAATCTCACCAGTCCTTGCCAGACTGTCTACCAGGGACCGCTAATACAACAGGTTGTTCATCACAGGGCTGAAGATGGCCTGGTTTTGCTCCGTAATCCCAGCAATCCGTACTGTTACTTTCCCATGGAACTGGCATAAACTCCACATTGAATCTTTTTCTTTGATTGACTCCACATTGACACCTTTGCAAGCTGAACCAGCTTTGGTCTGGTTTTTGCACCATAGCCACTCAAACCTGGCAGCCTTCTGTGTCACCTGGCATACGAGTTTATCATGCTGCATGGCAGGATACTACCAGGTCAATGGCTTAAATTAATACACATTTTTATATTACAGTTTTAGTACAGTGGATGTCATGATGCAGCTGAGTTGATATTATTAGTATAATATACTGATATACATTAGCATTCTTCAGGGTCCCACCAGGCTGCAATTAAGGTGCCACCTAGAACTATAGTCTCATCAGAGGCTACACTTGGGAATGATTTCCTTCCAAGCTCCTCAAGCAGTTCATCTCCTTGCAGATGTTGGAATAAAGTCCCCCTTTCCTGCTGATTATTGGCCAGCAGCTACTGTCAGATCCTAAGAGCCACCTGCATTTCTTGATACACGGTGCTCTCTATAGTCTCTCTTGCAACATGGCAGCTTACTCACTCAAAGCCAGAAATGGAGAGTTTTTCTAACTTAAGGGAAGGACTAGACTCTCCTTTAAGTGCTTTCTATGTTTACACCAAGGTCACATTAGGATAGATTTCCATTTAATTTAGTCAAAATTGTATTATTTTGCTCCTGAATTACATATGCAAAAATCTTCATCCTGCTACATAACATAACCTATTCTAGGGAAGATGTCCATTACCTTTTCCATATTGTATTGTTTGCAAGCAAGTCACAGGCCTCCCTGCCCTCAATGGGAGGGGAGCACTCAAAGGCATATTCACTAGAAAGTGGTAGTCATTACCTTCAGGTTTGTGTACCACACCTGTATAAGTGCTGGAGCAGTATTATTAGGTACAGAATGTGTTGCCTCTAAAACTTGAATAGTTCTTCCAAGAGCTATGCTTCCTCACTTTTGGTAGGATCCAGAAAATCCAAAAATGTTTCCTTTATTTGGAGAGGGTACTCTGAAATATCT